CCCAACGAGTTTTTCGTCTTTTTTGCGCTACTCGTTTTTCGCCATTTCACTATTTCGTATCCAAACCAGTGCCCTTTTCCCGCCATTACAGTATAAATATTACTTTAAATTTTGTTATTCGCATTGGGACTTTATCTCTAGTCCTACGCCTTTTATAGTTCCACTGATTTCACTAGGGATATTTCATTTGATTCTTCCTCAGTATCACCTCTCGTCTGCTCTATCTCTCCACTGCCTTTTCCTACTTGCAATCAGTATATGCTTTTACAAGTGCGAGGTATCCTTATTTTATGTTTATGAAATATTTTCCCGCCCTCCTTCCACCACTACACTTACTAGAGAGGGCTATTTATTTCTTTATCTTAGCCGAATTGTGCCAGTTTTATTCTTTCTTGTGCTTACTTCATTTGATTCATTTTTATCAATTAATTACTCTACCAACATTTTCGAACTTTTACTATGACTCCTACCACAAAGGTAAAAACGAACTCAAGGCTTCAAAACGAACTGTTTCTTTTATATTTTCCATTAACTTAATTTCGTTATTAGTATTGAGGATTCTCTCTTATTCGTGCTGTAATCACCTCACCATAAACGTGCCGTGTGAGGCTTCTATTAGCAGTACCGCTGGTTATAGTTAAAACCACATAAAATTTCATAATAGCTGCTTGTCTTACCATACTCGGCGTTGCCAGTATTTTTAAATAAATTGGTTTTCCTTTGTTTTAGTAGAAACAATCGAATCACTGACTTTTCCTAGGTCAATTTCTTATTCCTTATCTTTATGAGAAGTCGTCATTTAAATGGAATTCATCTTCCCTCTTGCTCTGTTCTCTTGCCTCAGTTAGTGCCTAGCTGATTAGAAGAACAATAAATCTAGTTTCTCTTGTCTTTTTATCTAACCATTATTTCAAAAAGCAGCCTACTCGAATGGGTTTTAATAAGAAATTGTTTTATATTAAGACTGAAACGTGGGTCATTTTGCCTATATGGGATCCATCGACATTATGTATCTAAACAATATTTGCTTGGTATCCCAATCGTTATTTTGCGTTTTATATGAAAAAAATATCCTTTTAGATGGACTTTTCGGATACATGACAAATCCTAAACAAGAGATATTAAGAGACTTTCCTGAAAGCAATAGCATGCTGGAATAGCTTAACTTCCAGTCTAACCAAACATATGGAGCGAAGATTGGAATAGTCCGAACTATAGTCGTAAGAAGCCTAAGGCTCACTTATTCTGAGTTATTGGAAGAAGAAAAGGAAAAAAACTAACTCAAGTTTTTTGGAAACGGATATCCAGTAGAAGCAATACTACGCAATGTACGTATTTCGATGAACGGATGGAAGGACGGGAATTATGAGAGGGAAACAAGAGTAACAGAGGAAAAACGAGTGAATTGGCTCGGAAGCTGTGGCAGACACTATTGAAATGAAACAATCGTACAATCCTGAAGGAGAGGACAACCCTCTTCATCAGCTTACATACCCAACATGAAGAAGTCAACAAAATGGAGTGTTCCGGAGTTTACAGCATAAACTGCAAGGACTGTAAACAAAAATACATCGGACAGGAAGGACAATCGGCACAAGGCTAAAAGAACACTAGCGACTATGCAGCAAAATGGATACCTAAAGATCAGAAAAGCTAAACACATCGCCTTTACCTGCCACAAAATTGACTGGAATGCAACGAAAAGGCTGGCCTTATATGAGGAAAACACCAGGGAATGAAATATCAAGGAGGCTGTGAACATCCTCTTTCAAAGAAACCCGATGAACAGGAGATTAGAAGAGGGAAGAGTTAGTAATAATTTCGCGTACTGCCTGGGCAGATTCAGGGATTCAGCGAAGGCATCAAAAAGAGGACGCTTGAAATTAGGACAAGTGCTCAACAACAGGAAGAGACATCTCCAAGTAGTGGATCATGAGGGACAAAGGAGAGTCGAGAAAAGTAGATTGCAGTGAAATGAGTCAAATATTGAGTCGGCCAATAATTTACCTCGAGGGGCGAGACGAGTATGCTTTTCGCGATTCAAGAGGGGAAAAATTAAGGCGGGCCATTTTCACAGAAGCGGTTATGAATTAAACTGGACGGCCCCAAATACAATATGGGTGGAGATGATAAAGGAGGATGACTGACTCATAGGCTTTATATTTCGTATTTAAGTAGTTTCAAGACTACCAGTAACTCAGTAATATGAGATGTTTTCACCCTATTTCGTTTAAGGTGATAAAGGACTGATAGTAGAACTTTCCCACGATGATATGAGTATAGCTGATGTTTCCATTGAATTTTACAGCCTTGCTTTCCCAAAAGGTGTTCTCAACCACAGTGAACTGCAGTTTCGACCTCGCATAGGTCTTATCAACACCCACAGTGGGAGTCGATGAAGCAAACATATTTTTGCTATAACAATCGACTAGCAAACTTATTTTTCGTATGTAAGTAGAATTTCGAGACTACCAGTAAATCAGTTATATGAGATGTATTCACCCTATTTCGTATAAGGTGGTGAAAACTGGTAGTAGAATTTTCCAACAATGATATGAGTCTCGAAACTCTACTTGCATATGAAAAATAAGTAACGTAGTCGATTGTTATAGCAAAAATACGTTTGCTTCATCGACAATCCCAGCAAAGAATGTGATATGGGAAAAGGCCTGGCCTTCCTTGAAATTCACATCTGCTTTATGACCCAAGAGCAGTCGGTGGCATTGTGGCCGAGTGGTTAACGTGTCAAGCTTACATGCTGCACTGTCACGGTTTGACTCCCGCTGGGGGTGTTCATAAGATCTATGCAAGGTCGAGACTGCAGTTTACCCTGGATGAGAACAACTTTTGGGACAACAAAGCTATGTGAAATTCAATGGAAATTTCAGCTCTACTCATGTCATAGTGGGAAAATTCTACTAGCAGTCCTTCATCATTTTAAACGAAATAGGTAGAATGCATCTCATATTTCATAGGTTTTATTTTGATGTCTAGCAGCGACCAATTGACAAAAGGGGTAGGAGGGGTGGTGCTGCATGGAGAAAAGGAATAGTGCAAACGGCACCTGGTACTGGTGGTGAAGATGATTACGCTTCACTAAGCCCAATCGTAGCAACAACGAGAGCACATAATTGTGCGAATCGGTAGCTTGATCATATGAAGTGGGGTTGAGAGAACGAGATGCAGCACTAGAAGGTATAACAAAAAAAAGAGGCGGCGAGTGATGCCACAACAGTTGAACAGAAAATTGGTCAAGGGGCTTGCCTCCACTTGTCACTTTGATAAATTGTAATTCCATGCTGATGACGTTGCCAACGAAACATTTGGGGATGGACCAAGACATCATGAATATAGTCTTCTTCGACTCTTAACTTCCTTCATCCTGCCTGGTGAATCTAATTTTAGAATATAAAATTTTCTCGCCTGTCTGACAACCTATTTTGGCTATCCATGGTTCATTTTTCTTAATTGAGCCTTTAACAAACGTGACATTACACTAAACACAATTTTTATTAGCTCTGATCAAGTACATGATAGAAATTATTAGCTAGAGGATACCTCGTTCGATTGACCCCTTTAAGCCTGGCTCCTTGTATCTTCTTGTCTCCGGAGATTGCATACTTCAGGGCAGATGGACGCTTCCCGTATATTTAATTATTTTTCTCCAGGTCCCTATTCGGTCCAGCAACTCTGGAATGTAAATTGCTACCATTAATGACCTTTGGCCTTTTTAGTGGTGAATTTTATACTGATTTATAAACATTTACTTTAATTCATTGAAAAAATGTTAGCAGCCTTTATGGATACACTAATTATTACCTCTTTTGCAGACGCAAAAGAGGATTTGCAGCTAGGTTTTGTAGGCTATATATTTTTTCTAACCTAAAAGATAGTAACATGTTTGTGTCTATATATGCTCGCTCCTATATTGAACCTCACCGGGGGTTCTAATGGTACATATGGTAGGTAAAAACTACATTCTAGCATAGATTATAAAAATCCCCTGGTACAATTAAATTTCAGTAGCGAAATCAAGCTTTCTTGGAAGTGGACACAGCATCAACTGAAAGGCAATAGGACTGGCTGCATGTGGTGAAAATACAAGAAAACGCAAGATAGAGACCGTCAGCGTTCTTATTGAAATGAACTTAATTTCAGAAGACTGAAGGAGAGCAGAATTAGCTTAAAAACATTGTCTGTTGTTTAGGCAAACTCAGAGCAAACGAGGAATCAGCATATTAGCGCAAAGGGAACAACTGGATCAGGGATGTGTTTTAGAGAGGAAGAAAATGAATCGCAAGTAAAGGGATATCGAGAGACCAAAGGAAATCTAGTGGAAACGCTTTCATTGAGTCTAGTAAAACGAAGAGAATAGCTACATCCTTTTTCATGGGGCGGGGCGCGTGACGCTGATGAGAAAATGGAATAGGATGGTCTAAACCATTGGTGCAATTTGACATTATGGATAGAAGCGCGCGTCAAGTTCTAATTCAACTCCATCTGAGATATGTGGTTCACAGCACACCAGTTTCATAATGGAAGTAGTTAGAAGCCTTAAAAAAGTACGTCCTGTATTACTTGTGGGCAATCCAAGTCTCCAGTACCTAAAAACTACTTGGTAATGATGTTCCTTCTTTGTTGTGAAATAAACTTCCATTCAGAGGTTGGCTTTATTTTGCATTCATATATTAACAATTATATAATATATTCACTATTGCAACATCATTTAATTGGTTAATATAAAATACATTAGCTAAATATTTGTGAAAGATGGTTGGATGAAAAATAGTGACTACAATTTAGAAGTAGGTTGACCTCGTTGTCGCAACTTGGTCTTGTGTTCAGGGAGACTATGTAGAACGTACCTAGTCCAAAGTCGTCGGCCATAGTAGTTGTCATGATTCCAAGCATCTGACAGTGGACTTGATACATTCTCAAACGCTTCGACGGAATCGTAGTCGGCATCATCAGTGAATTTGCCATTCGCCGCACCAAGCTACGAACTCGTCAAAGAGACAAGTGAAGTCAATCCCTCGACAAACGTTAAGCCGAAAACGGTTACACCTCATTCTCCGCACCAAGCTACGAACTCGTCAAAGAGACAAGTGAAGTCAATCCCTCGACAACCGTTCTGCTGGAAACGAGTACACTATCACTCCTCTTTCTGTCCTGGCCTATCTAGCTACTCTTTACCCTCTTATCCCAC